CCGGTTTTTATGACTATTTTCTCTTGCCGGGAACACTCTCCACATTATTAATGATCAGTGCACGGTTGTTTTGCAACTAATCATGGCAAAATCTAATTGATCTGGAAACACTGTCAAGCCGTCGTCGTCCGACTACGGGTATAAGGGTTCGAAATCCGCGGGGAAAGAATGAATCGTCGGGTAGCCACCCCCAAAAACCCGGGAAATTTTCGGCAGTTGATGACAGTTCACAGTGCGTGCGTGGTCTACGCTGCAGATAGTGAGTGATTTTGTTTCTGTGTTCGAAATTTTTGATACCACTGCTTTATTTCTTTCCATGATGATATCAAAAATTTCGAACACAGAAACAAAATCACTCACTATCTACGACGTAGACCACGCACGCACTGTGAACTGTCATCAACTGCCGAAAATTTCCCGGGTTTTTTGGGGGTGGCTACCCGACGATTCATTCTTTCCCCGCGGATTTTGAACCCTTATACCCGTAGTCGGACGACGACGGCTTGACAGTGTTTCCAGATCAATTAGATTTTGCCATGATTAGTTGCAAAACAACCGTGCACTGATCATTAATAATATGGAGAGTGTTCCCGGCAAGAGAAAATAGTCATAAAAAACGGTAGGGGGTCCAGATATTTTTTTTTACAAACGGTGTTGTAACTTTCGAAATATTTGACCGAAAGTTTTGATTTTGGTCTCAATCGATAGATATTGAGTCGGTCTTTCAAATGAAACCAAGATCAAGCCTCTAGCTATCTTGGTTTTGGAGTTATAGAACCAGTCTCGGTACTTTGTGGACAGCCTATGTAGGTTCATTCATCACATAGTCTCACATGTCCTTTCTTACTGCTTCTCAAAATTAATAAAATGATAATAATTTTGGGAGCTCATGATGGAAACCACTTACAACACTGATCAGTCCTTTGTCATCAGGGTGCAATACAGGGTGAGCGAAAAGTCCCCCCCCCCTCTAACTTTTGAACGCATGCTTGTACCGAAACGAAATTTTGGGGATGCTCCTAGAATCTAGGAGCATCCCCAAAATCTCCTAGAATCTAGGAGCATCCCCAAAATCTAGGACCTAGATCAATAAGAGCTACTTTTTGGCACATCCAAAATTTTTGGGGGGGCGCTCCCCCCCCCCCCNCCCCCCCCCCCCCCCCTGCGAGGGGCATACACTAACTTGAAATTTTCAAATGGTAATCCCCCTCTTGCGATACATTGTTGGAAAGGTAATAAATAAAGAAACTTTTTGGCGCAAACCGAAGGTCGCTACGACTTTTCTAACGACCTACTACTTCTACGACCTATTTGGGGGGGGGAGGGAGGGCACTCCCCCCCCCCCCG